GTGTATGTGTATATATGTATGTTTGTTTTATCTTTTTTTTTTTTTTTTCATTTTCAGGGAATGTCACTTAACTGATATGTGATAAATTTGTAAGAGGAACGTCCACATTTAAATCCAAAACTCAATAAGCATCCTCTGCTGCTGTATTTGTATCCACTCCATGAGCCATGAAGCACCATCTTCTCATTTTAGCATACTTGTAGTTTGTTGAGTCTCTAAAATGAGATTTGTGGAGAGTAAGGTATAACAACACCAGCTTTACAGTTTAATGTTTTTGTATGTGTGTTGGCAAGGAGAAAATTAAACCTGGTCCAGGCTTCTACATTTAGATCTGCAGAATAAGACCCTATAAACGGGAAAGCAGAAAAAAGAACCAAAGGATCTAAGCCCCCGTGTGAATGATGCAAGCTGAAAAATGGAAAAAACGAATAATACTAAAAGCACAGAAAAAAACAAGAACATTATTCCAATAAGCACAGGATGGTATTGATTAAACTACCTATTTATGAGTAATGCACAAGTATATCTAAGAGGGGCCATCGTCAATGACTAATTAGATATGTTATTGGTTTAAATGTCAAAAGAAAAGCAATATATTTATTTTAACGATGCAGTAAAGGGTAATTACAGCCTTATTTAGGGTATATTGTCATCAGCATTTATCTTTATTATGATATCACATAATGGTCTATGGATCAGCCCCTTAACAATCCTCCTGGGATCTGTTGAAATAGTGACAAAGGCAGCTTCCAACGATCCCTACAGCTGAAAACAGGGCTCTAACTATCAGCAAAGTGCATTGTAATTACCATGTTATACTGGCTGCTGCTGGGGACTTATTTGGCTTTACAGCAGCTGTTCCCACAGAGAATCCGTTTCATCATCCCTACATCTTTTGCTGCTCTGTGTGAGTTTAAAGTGCATGATAAATTAGGGGCCTGGCTATACCATTTTCAGGCTGTTGTACAGAGCGAGCGCAGATAAACACTTGCAAATGATCTTCTTTGTGTGGTCTGTGGGTATTCAAATAAATGTCTCCTTCAGATAGAGTACATTTGATCCTGTCAGATTTCTGAAGCAGAGGTTTAACTGCTGTACAAAGCCTTAACAGCTTTTTAAAGTCAAACTGTGAATACTTTTTATGGATGTCTTCAGCTTTAACTCATTTTAAGATTTTTTTTTTTTTCAATCCTTTGTGAAATGGCTGCAGCAGGTATGGGCCAGTAAGAGATTTTTTTTTTACCCTGACTAACAAAATAACATTTTATCTGGGTTTAAAAAACAAAACAATAATTCATACCATAATATGAATTTAGAAACATGTATCATGTGGCTGCATATATAGATTATATGCATAGTTTGAAGTAAAATATTATAAAGCTGTGCTAAATTAAGATCTATTATTCAAGGGTTATGTCAGACAATAAGTCTTGAATATTTTTGTCGTTTTTCGCTGTAGTGACTGACACTGGAGGACATAAAACGAATCATTAGTCAGACTGTCTGCTCAGGTGGCTATTCTACTTTAACGGCTGCATTAAAATAATTTCCACCTGATGATTGTCCATGTTTTCCACTAATAAAAAGATATCAGCGGAATTTTTCTTATTTTAGAGGTTTAGTTCGATTAATTAAAACCTGGTAATGACAATTTACTTATGTATGTCACTTTAAAAAGGGAAAATTTGGAAGAAGTAATTAAATATTTTGGTGATTTTTTTCAAATTCTTAATGCAGTAAATAGATAAGGCCAACAAATTTGTAAAATTTTTAATTTTAGAAATGTTTCCCTTCTGAGAGTAAATCCTTTCAGTTTACAAATTAAATATTTGTTTCTCTTTTTTGCATGAAAAACTGCTCCATTGCTCTAAATCTCCATTAGGTTTGTCAGCACTGAGAAAGATGAAGCATCCAATAATTTTCTCAAAGATATCCGCACTACCTTTGGACTTGATTAAAACAGTTGACCAACACACAGAGATGAAGTGGTTCCCAAAACATCCCTGACATCACAGCTAACCTCTGGCAAATTTGATTTTGTGCTTCTCCACCCCTCTTGATTTACAAATTAAACACAAAATCTACTCATAAAAGACCTTGGACCACTTAGCAACAGGCCAGCCCTTTTTTTTTTCCTTGGCCAAGTAAGAACACAATTTTTTTCTGATTCAGGAGTGGGTCAACACAAGGGATGTTAAAGTTGTAGCTCATGCCTGGATACCTCTGTTAATGGTGCTTATCTGACTCCAGCTGCAGTGAACGCAATCTGCCCCAAACCATTCATTAAGGCTTTGCCTTACACTCAACTTTCCATCAATACACTGTCCAGTCAGAAGTCTTCCCCATAACCGTGTAAGCCTGGATGCAATAGTTCTATTGGGAAATACATTTTGAATTGGTTATTCGTGACACTTTAATGATTTTATATGCTGTGAGAAATTCCTTAATACCTTTTACTTACTTGATCTAAAGTGGATACAAGTGGTTGAAATTGCATAGGTGGACACTCCCTTAAAGAACTTAAGGAACTCAGTGTTTAGGGAGGGGCTTGGAGTAGAGCCGCTGCTCCTCCTTATCGAGAGTCAGCTGAGAAGTCTGCCATTTGTTTTGGATGCTTCCCTAGGGAGATGTTCCAGGCATGTTTCACTGTAAGCATGCAGTCTAGCACCGAACCATCTCTATCAACTGGCCTTGGAAAGCCTCAGGCTTGCCCTAAAGGAGCTGCAGGAAGTATCTAGGCCAGAAGTCTGCAACCTGTAGCTCTATAGACACTCGACAATGACGCTTCATCAGTTTGGCTAAACAATGATGAAGAGACAGCGAACAGATGCTGGTTAGTGTTGTAGTTAGCATTTTCTACCAACTGCATTTCCAAAACAACTTGGCATTTACTAGAAATATATGCTTGATCTTTTTTAAGTTGGAAAAATGTTTTTTTGACCACATCAAAATATTTCAGCAACCCATTCCCTCATTTTAAAGTCTAAAATTTGAAATAGTGTGGTGACTATTTAACGAAAGTAAAAGTCTTTGGTAGATATTGAATATAAACGATCTTTATTAGCTGTTCTGAATATAAAAATGTCTCTTTGGATTGTTAGGGTTGCAGACCCCTGGTCCAGACCATTCTGACTGTATGATCTCTAAAGTGCCTTGAGGATGAGAATCAGCACTATATGAATAAACTGAACTGCAGAAAAGATGGTCTGGGCATCTCTGCTAAAACTTCTGCCCTCAAGACCCGATCCTGGATAAAGCATTACGCAATGACAAGAAAACTAAAATAAATTATTTTTAACAACATCGCAGATGGATAACTTTTGACCTGAAATGTTAATTTACTGCGATACACCTTCAGGAGAGCAACAGGTGGGGTCAGTGCTCCATTACTCTATGCTCCAAAGAGATAACAAAACAAAAACAAAAATCATTGTAGCACTTCTTAGCATCTAATTAATATCATTTGAAACTTATAGTAGTTTTATAACTTGTTACTGGCCCATGCCTAGTCAGCTGTAAATCAGGCTTAATTCTTTGTTGCTGCAATAAATATCTAAACGTTTTGATTGCATATGGAACATTTAGTAATGCTTGCATTATTAGGTCATTTATAAGAAATTAAAAGTTGACAGGATCTGAGCTCATTTACAGCGTATCTAGTTAAGCAATAAATCTGTAGTATCTCCCTTTATAGTACACTGGCCTGTATATGCGTTGTACATAAAGAAATACACAGATGAGTCATTTACATGCTGTTGTACATAGGAGGGTTGCACACTTGGAGCTCAGCTGCCATTGTTATTTTTCAGAGAACATGAGATTGTTTTTGTACATGAATGAAAACATTTAAAGAAAAATAAAATTATCGAAAACACTGAGAATTTCTTTCCTTTTTTTGTATTGTGTGTTTTAGTTTGTGCTGTGTTGTTTTGTTGTTGTTTTTTTTTTTGCTGCAGGGGCAAAAGAAAGTACCACCAGTCATTTTTGTTTCAAAAATCATATATTTATATATGCAGGACACTCATGCTTTCCATATCAAACCCATGGGACACAGCATGACCTGGAAAATAAATCACACTACAAAACATCCATAGAAAACTGACAAATGAACAGCACATTGACTCTTCACCAAAATGTACAAAACTCGGTTTGAACAACAGCTTTACGTCCCCATTGAACTCTCTGACATGTATACTTTTTTATGGCAGCGATAACCTGTGAAAGGAGGTCAGAGAAAGGCCTGGAGGGGTGAGGGATGAAAAGCTCCCAGTGGAGGAGAGATGGAGAGAAAAGAAAAAGAAGGTTCACATTGTAATCGGAATAGATCTATGTCATATCAGAATCAACACCGACTCAGAAAGACATAAACAGAGACGACACATCACATCAAATACTCCTTCTTCTCTTCCTCTACCTCCTCCCTCTCCTCCTCCTCGTCAAAAGATGCCACTCCGGAAGACCTCCGGTCAGAGAAGAAGCCTCTGGGGCTGCAGTGCCAAACTCGCACCTCATGAAACACGCTGCCTTCCTCCTCCTCGTCCTCCTCATCCTCCTCTCCAGGGGACTCAGAGTGAGAGGTGGAGTAGCAGGAGTCAAACCTGCTGCTCCTGTTTCGGGCCCTCCACTCCGGCTTGCTGTGGAAGCAAACATCGCTGTGTTGTTGCTCCACCAGACCATTCAGCCGTTCTTCATCTTCCTCCAAGAATGGACACATGCAGCTGCTGCGGGAAGTAGGCGAGTCGCTCTGTAGGTCGTTATTAGTAGGAGGCCTCTCCTGGAAAGGGCCGCTGCTGCCGCCACTGCCGCTGATCCAGCCTACGGGGCCGATAGATGGTGGCACCTTGACGCCTTGAGTCTCATGGTGGCATGGCACTCCACTGATGGGTTCGGACACAGCAGCGTCTGAGAAAGCATTAAACAGAACATCTAAACATGGGTGCGAGGAACTATGGGTGCAGAAAATGAGAAGATGAGCACTTTGTCAGTAGTGACACATGAAAACAGTGAGCGTTATATGATATGAGGATGATGGATACCTGGACTCTCTGTGGACATGGTGGTCTCTGCATTGGTGTGGGATTCTTCATAGTTGAAGTCATCCTCATCATCATCATCTAGAGATGCCCAAGCACGCAGCTTGGCCTCAGCGATGGCGAATTGCTCAGCCACTCCTAGCAGAAATAAAGCTTAGTCAATGTAAGCGTGACATCACCGACGCCCTCTGGGCCATGACTCTTCTGGGTAAAGGTCAAATTAAGGCTTAGTAGACTTTCAGGACTATTATGGTACAGTTACAATATTTTTACAATATTCAGTCTTGCCATTGATTTTTTATGGATCTATGTCTAGAATTTGACTGAACCATTTTCACTAATACATATGAATTCAATCAGCCCTGGGGATCCTCCGTTCCAGTCTCAATACTACTTCATAGTAAGAAGGTTTTCCTCCATGGTATTTCTGTATTACATCTTTACATAAACTCGGACTAGCTTCCCTATTCCCAGAGATAAAAATCATTCCCAGAGCATGATGCTGCAACCTCAGGGTTTCAGTGAGGGGATGGTGTGTTACACTGTTACCTTACCACTACTTATTGAATTTTACATGTAGTACACGAAATATAATTTTGCTCTAATCTGACCACAGTGCTTTTTTCGATGTTTCATGTGTCTCTTACATGGCTCTGAAAAACTGCAAATGGGAATTATTATGCCACTCTTCCAAAAAGGACTTATTTGTGCACAGCTAATCCTTTAAGCTCATCTAACAAAGATTTATGAGATGTTTAAATCTTGGAATAGAATTTCTTAAAAACAAAAAGCTCCTTTAAATAAATCCCCCCAAAATATTCTCATCTAAGTATCGGGGAGCTCTCTGCAGTGTAAGTCAGAGGAAGAAAGGAAGTTATGCCCAGGGGTTGCCCATGGAGGTGGTGGCATTATGATATGGTCAGGCATCACATACACACATCAATTACCATTACGCTTTATTGAAGGGAACCTTAATGCAGAAAGATATCAGGACAAGATTCTCACCCCTATTTTTTGCCTTTTGTGTGCCAGCATCACATCTCCTTTCAACATGACCATGCCAGACCTCATGTACATCTACATAGAATTCCTTCAAACAGAGCACATTAAGGTTTTGGACTGGCCTGCATATTGCCGTACATGTCCCCAATAGAGCTTCTTTGGGATGTTCTGGATGGACGTGACCATGTTCCAATTCCAAGCAATAGAATAACATTGCACAGGCCACCATAGAAAATCTGATCAACTCCATGCGAAGAAAATGTGTTGCTCTGCAAGATGGGGCTGGTGGAATAACAAGTAAACTGTCCTTGACTGACACTGAAAATTCAGATTCCTCAATTTGACCCCTATAATTTTTAAAGGATTGTCAATCTGCAACAAACGGCCATACCAAAATGTTGGAAATGCCGATATGAAGGTCAGTAATTACTGCAAATATATTTTCAGTTTCTATGTATTTTATAACCCAAATATTCATAAAACTCTTTGTAATTTGTCCCAGAACATTTTATATTTTTGTTCACTGTATTTCTGAATGACAAAGGGAGTTTTAGAAAGAAGTAAATAGGCTGACTCCTGATGAAGTTCCCTAAAATGCAGTTTTGCTATTATTATTTGCTATTACCTATTACATCACACATAGAACATGATTTCTATATATGAACCTAAATACATTAACGGGGAACAGACACCATAATGCTTCTCAAAGCACCAGGACGTCTCTAATTGGTCTGCCCCAGCTAACTTGGCATGCAGCATTTTGGATAAATGTCCCTTATATATATAAAACAGCAAACATACAAGAGAAGAGAGGATTACTTTGTATTAATAAAAAAAGAATCAAAGCTGTTCTAAGTTGTCTGTGCAACATACAATACTGTGAAAACAGACTGGTTCTCTTGTCCACAGCTTTTACTGATAAATCACATCTGAATTCTTTATCAAATACATCTTTATAAAACCATTTTCAGATGATTATTTATTTAATAGTAAAGCTCTTTAAACCAACCTGGTCCGATTTAGAAAAAATTATTGACTGATAATCTAATATTTGGTAGCGGCACCTCTGTTGACATCAGCTGATTTGCAGGCTTTTGTAAATAACAGGTAGAGACTCCTTTACAACAATGGGGATCGAAACTGAGTCACTCTCCTTTGAAGAATAATTCTAAATTTTCCTCACTGAAGATTATTCTTTGACACAGCCTCTCCAAAAGCTATTCTTTTTTTTAATCAGATTTTTTGAGTGGACCTGGTCGTGTATCCCTTAGAGCAGGACTCCCCAAGTCAGCCCTGAGGGCCGCTGTCCTGCAGGTTTTAGAGGTTTCCCTGCTTCAGCACAGCTGATTTCTACTGATAGTTGATTAACAAGATTTCACTGAACTGCAATCATCAGAATCAGCTGTGCCGAAGCAGGGAAACCTCTAGACCAGGGGTTCTTAACCCTGGTTCCCAGGGCCAACTGTCCTTCATGTTTTAGATGTGTCTCTACTCAAGCACACCTGATTCGAATGACTGCCTTTTCTCCTCAACAGCCCTCAAATGCTGCAAAAGCCTGGTAATTATCTTTTCAGCCAGGACAGGTTTATGGTGGCAGGGAAGCACCTAAAACATGTAGGACACTGGGCCTTGGGGACCAGGGTTAAGAAATCCTTCTTCAGACGCTCAAAGGCCGACTTTGGGCAGCACTACATCAATATCTCTTTGGATAACCAAGATTTAGAAACTTAGTCTTATGATCAACATAAGACCAACCAACATTATGGCATTTGCTTTCAGGATTTCTGCAGGTCTCATCTGTTCATCAGTTTCATTGGGCCATTTAGGTTTTCAGGGCACTGGAACTAAAACCTTTTCAATGCCTATTTACTTTTGCCTCATCAGTCTGTGGAATATTTTTTCTTTCTCACTTTTTAACCATGAATTTCATCAGAGCTCGTTCCACATCAATAGTTGTCAGAAACCCTGATTTTATCTGTTCTTAAATTATTATTATTATCTTTTTTTTATTGACTATTGTTTCTCTTTGAGACCGTTTAGGCTATTTTATGACCTACCGTATTTTGAGTCAGATTTCATAAGCAGTGGTTCTCAATCCTGTTTCTCAAGTACCAGTGGCCTGTGAGTCTTAGGTGTCTCCTTGCTTCCACACTCCTGATTTAATTGAATCAGCCATCCGCAGCACTTGATGGCTGCTGAGAAGTCTGTTGCTGTGTTCGAATCCGGCAGCTGCGTCCACCTAAGGCCAGATTTGTCTGCCAATTGTGTTACAGCATGGAGCCATGGTCTGTTCAGATTCAAAGACTCCCTCGTATGCAGCCAACATGCAGCCTTCTAAGCGTCCAGTTGGAAGGACAGGACCATTGCATCCTCCATAGCCTAGTGCATCACATGATTCATTGCGAGTCCAACCAAGATAGCTGCTCCATGCTCAGAAGAAGAAGGGAAATGGTGCCGAACAATGGTGAATATTGCAAGTCAGTTTAGTCTGTTGGGAGCGCCTAGGGCTTCCCCCAAGAGATCTGGAGGAGGTGTCTGCGGAGAGGGAAGTCTGGGAGTCTCTGCTTAGTCTGCTGCCCCCGCGATCCGGTTCCGGATAAAGCGGGAGACGACGAGTTTGAGTACGAGTTTAACATAATACAAGTATGTGAATAGTTCCACTGAAATGAATGAAAATGGTTATTGAGTCATATATGTGGCGGGTAATGTTTGGTTTATTGAAAGATTTTATCTGTCCCTGTGTAAATGGGTTTGGCACAGATTATAAATATCTGCAGAGTGGAAACTACAATCTGATATCTGTGACAACAGTACTCCTGCTGAAGATCCCCAAAAATGAAATGATCATACGGAACAGAAGTGAGAAGTTCAGCATCCATTCTTTGACTGCTTTGTGCGTCAACAGTCACCGTTGCTAGGCGACAGAGCTTACCCTGAGTGAGAATAGGAGAAGGCTAGACCTGTTTGGAACCATAGCTGAACTTTTCTGGACTCATTTTTTTTTTTTTTAAAGAGCCTTTTTTTTAAAAAAAAAAAAAAAAAAAAAAAAGGACCCAGGTGATGTAGTGTGACTTAAGATCTGTATGACAATGTAAAAAATGTAATTGTGCAAGAAAAAAAAAAAGATATCTGTGAGAGGGAAAATATTTCTTCCTAGCACTGAATAATCTAGGATACAATCCATTGTGGTTAGATTTAATAAATATTTCTTTCTGAGAGATAAATAAGGTATATTGGTGCTACAGCAAGACTTTTACAGACCGGCTTTATCAGTTATCTAATTGGTTAAAGCTAATAAGTTTAGGACCAATTGTTTAATGTTGCAAGCATCTGTGCTTTAAACTTTTTCAGAAATATCTCTATATGGTTAAATAAAACAACCAGCCAACATTTGCCACTATGTTAGGTAATTACCAGCGTGACTGACTTGTTTAAAATAAAGAAATAATTATTTTAACCCTTATTTGATGTCTTTATTTTAGTAATTTATTTCTTCTGCAGGTTGAATGTCTGTACAGTATAGATAGTCAAATGAACGATGAAGTCGCAGGACCCACCAGTTTAAAGAATTGCTTTAAGTCTGATATTGATAAAAAAAAAAACTATTCAAATATATATATATATATATATATATATATATATATATATATATATATATATATATATATATAAAAATAAAACAGAATATGCTAAACTACCTTTTTTATTATTTTTACATGATTGTGTTTGAGTGATCACTTATTTTATTAGACTTAGAAGTGAAATCTTTTAAAGCTCACATTGTTTTCTCAGCATTCAAATTTTCATTTCATTATTCAGAGAAGTTCATGGTTACTGTTTAAAGATAGTCTATTAACAGAATATGATCATATTCTGTTAATATATAATATTAGATAATAATCCTCTGGTTGCCTTGAAAGTGGCACAGACGTAATCAGCTGCCAGTAAAAGGAAAAACAATAACTCTGTCACTGCTTTTAGTTTTAAATGCTCGCAGTGAGGTAACCTTAGGCATTTTGCTGCGTTAATTAGGCTATCAAGAAGAAGAGACTTCATAATGCATGTGATGTACGCTTGCTTCGTCTGCTCCCTGCTCTCCTCCCCCTCACATTATCTCCTCATCAAGCTGCAGCGATGTCACCGGCGCCAGAAAGGATGAGTCACAGCAAAAACAACAAGCGCTGCTGTACCGTTGGTGGGCAGTGAAGTGTTCTGAGAGTGTGTGTCTAATAGGCCACCATCTGCTGCTAAGACAAGCCAGTGGCCAACGGATCCTGCCACAGGGTGGGGCCTTCCACGAGGAAACAGGAGTTTTGAAGGGATTAGTCTCATGACAGAAGGTGGGCGCCGGTCACGAGATGATGCTGTAGTTAAAACCATGCTAAGTAACGGGATGCACATGTACACCCAGATAGACATGTAACTAGTTTACTTTAAAAAACTAAATTTGAACTAGGAAACCCTCTTGTTTCTCTGAGGGTCAGAGCGGGGAAAAGTGGTGAATACCTGCAGCAAACCGAGCCTCCTTCTCCCCTTCAGTCAGACGACAGTAAGAGTTGAACTGGGAGTGGGCTCCTGGTGGAGGACCTGTAGGTTTAGGCCACCCTTTCCACTCTATGAGGTGGGCCACCCGGCCCTGAGCCAGGGAAGTGGGTTTTGTCACATGGTCCCTCACTGCCTGAGAGATGCCTGGATGAAACAGAGATGTAGAGGTCAGAAACCATATTTGTAACTCCATTGTTTGATAATAGAATCAAAAAAAGTTTTCTCACCATTTAGTGATGATCTGGCAAGCGCCGCAAATTCATGGATGCCGACACTTTTCCTGGAGTCTGCTGGAGATTTTCCTGACTTCGGAATCATTTCACCCTCTTTAAATCTCACCTGTAATAAACAGAGAATTTTAGAATACAGTGCATAATTATTTTCTGCATTAGGGCACACGGTCTACTTGATCTACTTCAGCAAAAAAGGTGTCAACTTATCAACATACCCTACATATGCAGTTTTTAAAAAACAACATATGAATATACAGCAGTAATAAAAACAAGCTGTTACCTCGGTGTAAAATTCTCCAACCTCTTCCACTCTTTGCCCCTCCATACTTTCAGTCCTCCTAAAGCTGAATGTCATGGCAGACAGTCGGAGAAGGTTTCAGAGTGCTGTAAGCTCACACAACTGAACATCCATGCTCCGCTTTGCTAGTCTAAACAACCAGTCAGACAAGCAGACAGCGATGCCCTAAATTTGCTGCACAGATGCTGCTAAAGCCACAGTAAGCCGGTGAAACCGGTTCGAGTGGTCATGGGTGGAGGGAGCAGAGGGCTTGGGCAGCAGTCTCCATTGGGTTGAGAAGACATATGGCGTGTGGGTAAAGCAGTTCCAGCTGGGCGTGCTCACCGCAAAGCCACTGATTGAAACCGATACTGCTACCTAATGAACTCTCTGCCCACAAAAGGCAAACCCACATGGCCATTTAGATCAGTTAAACCGAGACAAAAAAAATGTCCTGTTTCTAGAACTTTTAACAAGCTGGAGACATGTCCCTGGAGCAAACATGCATGACTTAACAGATATTGTTAAGCAGATTGGCTCCTAAAGAAGCTAAGAAAGAAAATCTTTCTGGCGGTGCTAAAAGGCTTATTCTGAAGTCAAGCATGACAGAAAATGAGAGCAAACAGGCAGATGGGGAAATCCATGAGGAAGTGATATGAAGGTGGAAACTGTTTCAGCAGCTCAGGTGACAGTCAACACTCCCCAGAGGAGAGATTCAGCTTGAAAAACACACCCATAAGACAAGGCTCATGTTGAATGCTGACAAACACAGAAGGAAGTGGAGCTTTGAAAGGCCCCCTCCTGAGATTCAGAGACACAGATTTCAGCACCACGGACAGCTCAGCGCTGTGTGCTTCCTACATATTTCATTTGATTTGATTGCAGATATGTCAGTTATTTGGCCAAGTAAAGAAGTGAAACAATCCAGTCATTAAACATAACTAAAGCAGTACTGATTTTATCTACATATCGACAGTACAAAGAAATGTACTTTAGTTTGTAAAGTCTTTTTTAAACAAATTCATTAAAATAACTAGAGAAGCAAAGCAGCAAATTTCTCCCTGACAAATTCTGACATCCACCTTTAGTTAATACCTTTATACACTGAGTGTTTCCAAAAATGTAACCTATTTAATACACACATCACAGTTCACATTTTTGATTTTGGGGCTAAAAACTTACACTTTTGTTTATACTTGGTTGAGTCATAGTTCTTTTTTTGTGAAAATAAATAAATTAAAAAATTCACTTTTTTCAGTTGAGCATGAAAATGAGAACACAATGAAAATATAAAGAAAATAAATACATTTACTTTTAATGTTAAATCATATACAACCAATGTTGTATATGATTTGATACATTATATTGTTTTTGCTTTAATAAAGATGAGTTTTATTTTGTTCCTAAGGTGATGTAAGTTTTTATATTAAGTTTTAATTTGACAAGGATCCTAATCTGTCCAGGACATTTGTGTGACTAATTGTCAAAGCTATGAAATTAAGCATGTTTTATGGCATGCTGCATTTGATTTATTTCTTTTTATTCTAAAAGAACCTAATATTTCCCCATTTTCTAACTTTTACTTTTCAAATTTAAATAAAAATAATAGAAAAACCACTTGTGTATTTGAGATTTAAATGTTAAATTATTAAATATTTTCTAAAATGATTTAGGTTTCAGTGAATTTTGTCTGTGTTCTTTGTTTATTATTTGGGAATTAAAACTCTTACTGAGGGGTCCGTGTCATTATTGTCATCACTAGTTAACCTCTCTAAAGACCATAGAGAAGCAAAGTTGTTGATCTTTAAATTAAAAATAAAAACTGAAATATTTACTCAAACTTCAGGGGTCTTTTTTACCTTTTGATAGACTTATGTTTAATTTTAAGATTTTTATTTTGCTTAGCTGTTTTTTAATTTGATACCTTTGATATTCTTTATATTTGTAACGTTTTGTACCAGCATTTTATATTTCATCACAAATGATAGGATTTTACATGTTTGTAGTCGGGCTAAACAATATGTATGCACTAACATCGAGTACTAAGTGTTAACTTAATAAAATACTGATTTTGAATTTTTTATTTAAAAAATATGTATATATAAAAATAAAAATCCTTTAAGTACCTTGCTGATGAACAGTGAAGCAACATCCCTGTCAACAGGTGCAGGAGTCTTACTGAACGTTTCCTGAATATTACAGAAAACATCTGATTTCAGTGATTGCCTCAGTGTTGCTCATCAAAATCTTTGTTCATTAGCTCCATCATCAGGATATATATATCAAAATCAATGGCACGATAGAGAGTTTTTGTCATTTCTAATTACTTTTATCAGTTTCAATTTATTTTACTGGCAACTGATAGTTTTTCTGTCTATAAGGGAAGGATAAGTAAACTTTCAAGCACAGCTGTATTTAGGCATTTCAGTTATTATGTCCTAACCTGCTCAAAGACATAAAACAATAGTGTTAAAGGAAATGTGTTAAATAGATCCAACAGATGCCACCATTGTATCAATGTCTGGTAGGTACCGTAGTTAACTATAATTGCAACCACCTAGTTGTTCTGTGCATGTTTGGAATAAAGCTTTACACCCTCCCTCCTCCATAAAGGACCACATTTTCCTAAATCCAGCCCTTTTCTTTATTTTAATTAAAAGTTACAGACTGGCAAATTCTTTTTAGTGAATTATGAAATTATTTGCTGAAAAAATAAACATGGCAAAACATGTATGATGCGTTTATGCTATTGAGTCTTCACATCACCTCCCACTGCAGATTGAGCCCAGTGTCTCTGATCAGTTGAGCTAATTAAGCCAAGCAAATTGGATTTGTGACTGCAGCAAAAAAAAAAAAACCCACTTGTTTTCTGCATCATTTCTCCCCATCTACCTTAAATACCCTCTCAGACAAATGCCCTTCCTCCTGGCACCTCTGGACACTGATTTTGACTTCTATGACCAACAAGTGGGAGGATGAAGCCACTTTGCCCGCAGCTCTGTGAATGAAGTGAAGCTGCAGTGCAGAATGCACACTTATTGAGGGTTTTTCTTTTTTTTTTTCCCCTCCTGGAAATGGTGCATTCAAGCAGCAGAAGCGAGACGCTCACAGCTGAATAACGCATCAATCCGCCATTGATGAGCGCAGCTCTGCAGTCTGCAATTATGATGGAGTGGAAATAAAACGATGGAAAGATGAGCAGAAGCCTGTGAAGTCTCAATCTGCATACCAATAGCTCCATACCTGCACCAGATAAAACAGATCTCCTTTATGAGCTTCCTTCTTATTCCCATCACAGCTGCTCCTCTTTTTCTCGGCCACCTACCTGGAAGTGTGACCGCGGCGGCTCATGGTTATTGCGCTTAATTGTCTCCCGATCCGATCAACAGATGATACCGAGTGGTTTGTTCTCCAGCTGCGGCGAAGCAGAGGCGCTACAGCGACCGAAACATGTCCGTAACTCCAAGGTTCACAGGCTGCGCTTCATCCCCCCCAGCTACGGCGCACCATTTGTTGGTCTGTGTATGGGTTGCATATAGGCTGAAGGATGTCCAAATGTCTCCCGATGGCGAGCGTCATCAGCGCAAGGCGGTGCCGTCTCCTCTCCGCCCCCACCTCCTCCTCTATGTGCCTCCAAAGATCCAGAAAGCTGCAGATTCAGTCCAACAATCACTGCTACATGCTGCTGTCAGACGGCTTCAGACATCTGCAGTCGCTCAGTAAACAACTAGGAAAAAAACATTTATACACACATACAGGATAGTCTGTGTGTGGAAAATTACTGACATCTGAAAGGTCAATAAGTTGGATTTTCTTTTAGAGTGGGTAGTATGTGCAATAATTTCTACAAATGAGATAAAATGTACAAGGCATATACAAAGGTTTGATTTTTTAAATTCTATTTGGAGTATTATATTTAACTGCATACAATTAAATGTCTTTTTATAGTTATTGCTGATTAAAGTCCCAGAAAAACCTCTTCATGTTAAATTCAGGCTTAAAGTAGTCCTTGAAAGGTCATTGGAGACATGGGTCAGTCTGCTAAACACAAAAAGATATGAAAATCTCCCCAATCCTTTCTTTTGACGCCCCACTGAACCATTTCATTTTTCTGTAATTCTGCTAATTAAAACAACTAAATAGTTTTATTGTAACACATATGTAGGATGAACCAACTATTACTGTTAGTTTTCCTACCGCATGGAATCCACCGCCCACCTCAACTAACCTGCTATGTTTAATTAGACATAAAGCATTAGTCTGGTCTTCTAAAGTAACATTCTCAGATTCGGTTAATGTTTTTGTGTTTGAGAAGCAGTATGATGAACAGTATTATCCAGACAGAAGGCAACAGTTCTGAGTTTTTTTTTTTTTTTGTAGCAGCAGCTACAAATTAAATAGATTTTCCTGAGAGATTATTCCAGTTATTACCATGGCATAGCTAAAGGGAGTTTCTGATTATGGAGTGGGGATTTCCAATTTGGTGGAGATTTAGAGAATCTTCCTTTAAAACAACCAGAAACATGCTATGAGATGCATTTCTTGTAATTTTCAGGATACATGTATAATGGATGAGGTGTCAGTTATATAGATTTAAGGATGACAACTTGCCTTAAATGGAAATGCTCTAATTTTCCTTCTGTAATGGAACAATAATCCCAAACCCACTAGGGTACTGTGCTGATTAAGCGAGTTATTGTTGATGTGGTCCAACTGTTTTATATCTATACCTGCTTTAATCACGTTTTTATCTTTACTCACATTTCTTATTCTTCCTTTTTATTTTTTTAATTCATGTAATGCACTTTGAATTGTCTTTGTATTTAAGTTTGCAATAGAAATAAACTAACCTTGCCTGTTTAAGATCAGGAAATTATACTGTATTCCAACAGTTGCTGTTTCAGTCTTCTGAAGAGGATGCTCTTTATGAACAACAGTGAGTTTCCTCTTCAGAAGACTGAGGCTGAATCCCAAACCACCCCCTATCAGGTGTCACTCCCATTGAAGTCTCAGTCGGAGCTGTGGAAGGTGCCTTGATTGAAGGTGAGGGGTATGAACGAGAATGGGATGGCCACTTCCCTCCAACGGAAAACAGTCGTTGCTATGGGAACACAGTGAAGCCCCATGTGCGTGGCCGTAGCTCTGTGGCACAGATTAGCATAACATTAAATATTTGCCCCTTTCTTAAAACAAATGTATACGGTCAAATAAACTAGTTCAAACAGGACGGTTCACTGGCCCGATCCACTACGGGGTTTGGGATGGCGCTTCATGTGGCAGAGCCACTGCAGGAATGCACAAAGGGTTAGTGTTTAGGGGCTGGTTTGGGATTGGGTTTGAGACACTAGTAGATTGAGATTCTGTACTAAACAGGCTACTACGACTGTTCAGTACAGTCGATATTTACATGTTTACTTTTTTGGGCTCAAAGTATTTTTGATTCGATCTGAAAACTTGTGGGGAGATATTAAACTACTGTTTGAGGAAAAACCAGGAAATGTTAAGGAATCGTGAAAATCCCATCACCTATGGCCTGAATAGGCTACTTGATCAGTTTCCAAAAGTTGGTCGGATCCATGCAAAATAAATGTGAAGCAGTTCTCAGTGCTTGAATATCCATGTTCAGTTTAAGAATTTAATATGATGGCATTATGCACACTTTGCAAAAGAAAAAATGGACAAGGAAGCAGAGCTGATGTTTCATTCTCCTGCAGTTGCTCTAGTTTAAACAGAACCATCAGCTTCAAATGGTTAGTATAAAATCGCCTTCAATCAAACTAGATAGAGGAATTCAACATATTTCAAGACTCAAACTCTGCACAGCAACTTAAGTCATTTATTGTAATGTTTCTGTCGCCTCATTCTTCCAGTTTCCGATGCAAAAGAAGCAATCATTTCTTAAATAAAGAAAGCAACAAAAAAAAAAAAAAGATATTTACAAAATTGAAATAAAACTAATAATCATTGAATTATCTAAAGCACCTCTCTGCATCCGGACAACTGTGGTTTCGGCTGGAAAATGAGACACTGCAATTACATCAGAAATTCATAGTTTCTGAAAAAAATAAAACAGAAAAAGTTCATCATTATATATTTACAGAAAGGTCCTGAAATTAGTTTCCACTTGAAGTAGAAAAGGCTTCCGGATCATTTCTGTGTCGTTTTTTTTTTTTTTTTTTTATGTTTTTTTAACCCCTCCCCCCATTGTATATATTTCATTTTATCAAGTCATTTTTTTTCTGCAGATTTCAAGTTTTCTAAAGGTGATTGGGTCACTAAGTGTCAGGTAAAAGTAGAGAAGAGGTAAAGATGAAGAGTCAGTCAGTGTGATTCACTACCGGGGATGGGAAAGGATGGCTTAGAGGAAGCATTAAGACCATCCCCCTGTAGTCAAAGTCAACATTGGCTCTCTGTAAGCTCATGACGGGAAACAGGAAGAGAAAAAATAGACAACCTTTGCATTAAAAACTCCCTCTGTCCAATTAAGTTCAAGTCCTTAATGTCAAACATTTTGTCCTCTGAAGCACACTTCTATCATGCTGCACGCTCCAGTTAAGGACAGATGAGGCCCATGAGTCAGGCAACCCACCACACCACACACCCTGCGGTTGCTTCTTGCAGGTCAGAGGATATCAGGCAGAATAGTCTACAATGAAAAAGCAGCCAGTTGGTTTGTGTTACTGTGATAAAAAAAAAAAAAGAGGGGGTTTGTAGTGATGTGTGAATTTCTCACACGTCATTAACAAGCAGTCCTGCCGAGCATGTTTTCAAGTTTATTTCATGAGGACACTTGCTGTGTAAAGCAGGAGAGGAGGGAAGGGAGAAATGATTGTTTTTCAGAGTTCATCCCTCAAAGAAAACAAAAAGGAAAAAATAAAGATTTATCCTCATTGAGGATTCATTTGAGTCTGCCACTCTGGGCTTAATATACTGTCTCCTACTCCTCCCAGTTGCCTGAAGACCCTCGTCTTGATCATGGCAGGACTTCTTTAATCACTTCCTTAGTCCTTGTCAGACTCCTCTTCGGCATTGCGGAGGAAGGTGAAGAAGCCGGTGACGGATTTCAAGGCCACACCTTTGCCCGTTTGCTCTGCTGGATCTTTGCTGCTCTCCCACTTGTAGAAGACCTCTTCTTCGATCACGTCCTCATCGTAGAGGGTGTTGAAGAACATTAGCAGCAGGCCTGCAAAAACAAAGCAGAGGTCAGTGTCCACATTCAGAGCTCAGAGACTGCTGCAGGCAGGTACAAAAAACTATTACAAGAAACATCCGGTTGCTTTTGAACTTGGCTAAAAACAATGGACCATCTTTTTTTTTTTTTGCACAACACCAGAATAACCAAGTTGACAACATTTGCTATCAGGACCCTCCAATAAAGGTTTTTTACTGCAAAATCATAAAGGGAAAAAAAAAAAAAAAAGAACTTACTAGCAGGCTGTTCCATATGCACCATGAGGGCCTGGAGGGCATAGAGGGCTTGTAGCGCCTTCTCCTCGTCACAGAGGTACCTCTGCAGCAGACTGGCTCTCTGTTTGATCTGCAGGTCATCCACCTTGTATGGGTTGTCACCTAAATAGTCGTAAAGAATATATTTCTTATCAAAATGGCTGCCAGTACAGTGTGTGCACTTAAGAGGCCAACAATGGGGACAGACAGAAATACACTTAAAGGCCACTATTAGGTAGGTACTAAATCATCTAGACATGACAGTTTGCTTGACTTTAAATGTTAGAACAGTAGCAATAGTGGTGCTAAGAATATATTAGAAACTGTTTATAAAGAAGCTTTTAGGGAGCAGTAGTTGTACTTTGTCAATATCAGAGAGAAAAAAAAAGGCGACTGACTGCCTTAAAGTGTGAGGAAGACAGGCAGAAGGAATTATTGTTGCATCAAAGGTGTGCAGTTTCCTCTCAGTGCACACAACTACAACAGCAGCAGACCCCAGGATGACACTCCTGTCAGTAGCAGCTACAATTAACCAGGTCCATCCCTTTAAGACCCTGGGACCCTTCTACTGATGGCTCAATTAACCAGGATAACACATCATACCATGGTTCTAATCATCTCAAAGTGTACTTAAAAATGGCCAGAGAGTAAATATACTACAGTTCAGGGAAATTCTACATGCTGGATTTGATCTACTCACATATAATGGCAGACTGGCACACTGATGTCATCAATGCTCGTAGAAAGTGGCTGGAGGTTACCTGCTGTTCATCCAGATTGGCCTAAAACAGGACAGCATGATAAAATCATGAATGAAATCAGGAATAAAAAAAGAACATCTAAATATTCTTTACGTTTTAGTAATGGTTAATGAAATATTACCTAGGTGATTATTCTACAGATGTTCCCACTATGAACCTGAATTATCACACTATAGAGCCTCCAACTTCTCATCACACACCTCAATCCAGTCTCTGATGCGCTGGTTGTTGGCCTTGTCCTGTAGCAGTCTGTCCAGTTCTTTGCTGATCTCCTCTCCACTCAGGACCTTGTTCTTTCCATCCTTCTTTGACTCTGCCTCTTCAAGTGTCGTGAACTCCACTTTCTAAAATACAAACATTATGTAAACAAGACTGAAAAAAAGGCCCAGCAAATCTGTGCTGATAGTTCCTTAAGTACAAATAGATATATAAATAAACTAATTAAACTAAAAGTATGTAGTAAAAGATCTGGATCAGAAACTAGGTTAGCCAACTTTTGTTATATCCAATTAAAGTCTTCCTATGGGCAACGAGTTGAAGGCACAAACTAAACTGTTCATAGTTTATTCTTTTTGGTACACCAGCATTCATAACATGTAGGCAAATAACTGTCCCCCAGACATCCGCTGTTATATTTGTTATCAGTTTACAAACTAGCAGGCTGTTCCAGCACAAACTAAACTGCTCTAAAAGTTTAGTTTATGCCTTCTACTCATTGCCCATAGGAAGACGTTATTTGGATATAACAAAACCGAATATCCTCGGAACAGCTCCAAATGACACAAAACTAATATGGGTGAGTAGAACATGATGTAATAACAATAAAATGGGTTTTTAGGCCTTACTTTAAACACACTCTTGTTTAGTTATCAGGAAGAAGGAAAAAAAAAAAAAGAAAAAAAAAAAAGTGTAATTGAAAAAATGTGCACACATTAAATAAATTATCAAAGAGTCCGATTCAGATGACCAATTTGCACTGCGGTATAAAACTTTTTCACCACCTAGTTTTAATAATGCAATCATCACTATTGAATACAAATATCAACGCTGATCAGAACTGCTTTTGAGGTCCAACGTGTCGACAGTACCTGATCTGTGACAAACTTGTTGACATCTTCATCCTTAGACAAGAAATCTTCCCATTTTAGACCAGCAGCTTTCCACAAAGCACCGACCTTATCGTTAGTCTGTTAAGGAAAACAAACCCAAATGTTTGAAATTTACCCAAGATGAGGAACGACTAGGTAATTACCGTCTCTGGTTTTAAGACTCAACGTACCATTCCTTTGCAGAGCAACTTAAGAATCTGTGCCAGCAGTAAGCCAGCCTTTTCCAGAGGCACGAGAGGCTTCGAGATCTCTCTAAAATAAAAAATAAAAACACAATGAGAAGGTATGAATGTTTAGTTTCATAAGCTTGTAGAGTGCAATAATATTTAGTGGTTTTATGCATTTGTTAATATTGTATCTGATGGAAACTTTATATCTTTTTGATTTAAGATATATGATTGAGGCCTTGGGGTTAAAAAGATGAGATTTTTTTTAAAAACATGATCTGGTTATTATTCCTCTTTTATTTAAACAATTACTTCCAATGAAGGATTTTGCCTGATACTGAAATAAATCAAAGAGAATTCATAAGAGGAAACAATTTGTGTTTAAAAAGAAAAAAAAAAAGTCACAACTGATCTGTAACTTTAGTTACAGATCAGTTGTGACTTGGCAGAGCGCCATTGTTATTTTGCCCTGATCTGTAACTAAAGTTACAGATCAGGGCAAAATAATAATGGCGCTCTGCGCCGTTAGTCCAAGTATAGAATAAAAGAAGCAGATCAATTGTTAACCTGCAAAGGAGCAATTATTATTGATCTAAAACCCAACATTCGGATTAAACTAGTATAGGCAGTGGAGATTTACATTTTTATTTAAAGATTTCTGTGGAATGACAGTCTACTTTACTAATAAACACGTAATTGGGATGGTACGGGATAAAAAGGTTATCAATAGCAGCAACCAGCTTTAATTAATCTAATAAATATTCAGATGAAAGTATTTATCAGTAGATTTTATTGACCAGACTGTATAAGAGTCGCCACAGGCAGCCCCTCAACTCACCGTTGACCACAGCTAGAAAACTGGAGCTGAGTGTCTCCAAGTGGGTGGAACAATATGAGCCAAAAATCATAAATATGTTTGGTGCAACAAGTGCTGCAGTGGGAGCAGGGCCGTCAGCATGAGACACTGAAGCAGTCCTATTGAGTGAGCAGAGCAGACTGTGCTGGGGTGATAAACAGCAGTAAAAAGGTTGGATTCAGAGGAGAAGAGAGGTGTGACCAAGTGGGGATAGAGAGGGAGGTCAGAGGAGCTGAAGATGTTTGAACTGCCAGATTGAAATAAGAACCAAGTTAATGTTTGTCTCTAAGGAAAGTTTTCACAACTACAGCAGCAATGCCAAAGGATGGGGGTTAAAACATGGATACAGTAATAAGGAGACAACATGTGTCTAAATTATGTTCAATTTAATGCAAAAGAAATATTTTATGCAAGGACAATGGAGGGTGCCTCATTTTAAGGCTGTGTTTGGAGTTAATACTTTATTATAGTAAAAATATAGTGCGACAATTAATTCAGGCAGACAACATAGTTCCAACACCTAATTTATAAAAAAAGATTTAAAAAATGCATTTTTCAGTTGCTGATTGTTTGTCTCCCTCCCAGCACAGGCCAGGATGCGTTTTTATCTGTGGGAGTGGAACGGGACAGATATTCACTTCTTTGTGATTCTCTAATAGGGAAGCGTAGATAACTAGGATAAAACAACACGTCCCTATGATTGTAGCAGTTAAAAGCCTGTGGAGGAGCTCAGTTTGCTCTGATCCGTTTGCTTTCTGCTAACTTAGAAATCTGTCTCTATTATATGTGCTGCAGCTTTCCCTGAAGTCAAACAACTGGGAATTTTGACCTGAGCACAGCGAAAGCTTCACCGAGCAGCATGCACCTCCACCCAGAGGTGTAAGATCTGCTTGAATTCACTTTTCTCAGTACAACACAAGAGTGTGCATAAAATAAATTGAGGAGCACAGCTGAGCCGATCCTGCTTTCTATGCAAGCATGGTTTAACCTTAAAACCTAAAAGGTAAAAAAGGCACAGATACCTCAAACACTGTATTTGGGTTTAGTTTTGAAATGTTTCCTTGCAGAGACCATCTGTGGTGGAATTGGACTTCCAAATGAAGGATAAAAAAAAAAAGTGAAGTTTGAGAAAAAATGTCTACATGTAGAATCCTAATGCATCCATTAAGACCAAGTGTAACCCCTTGCTTCCCTTGGATGTGGAAGCAGTGCGTTAGAACTGCGGCGCAGCCCTGTATTTGCATCCGATTGCTGCGACAGTAGTCGGTCAGGGTGCTTCCACTGGGTGCACCTCAGTGCGTTTCTGAAGCATCCCGATTCAGAGGCAGTTTCTCTAAAATACAAAGATGTTCTATTTTTGTCGTTTGCTGCACAAGCTCGATTTACATCTAGAGCAGAGCGGATTATTCAGAAAATCCAGGTGGATCCAAGGAAAAGACTGTAGATTTTTGCTTACATTCCAAAATTTTGTCAATCAACATACATATTAAATATGAGATGTGAAGTTTCAGTTATGAACCTAAATTTCTTTTCTCATTGTTTTGCTATGTTCAGAAATGACTTTAGAAAAAAAATAAACAAATGTAAATAGCGATTATAACATTTGTACTTTTTCTGTTGTGTCTACAGGTCCAAAGGAAACTGAAAACTTAATTGTCTATATTACTCACGTAAAGAGCTCCCCCATAGGGATGCCGCCATCATGAAGCATAGGTGTAATAAGCTCTGCTAGGTAGAGCCAGATGTGGGGTATATCTATGGCCATGTCCTCTGCTACTTCCAGGATCTCCAGTAGCCTAAAACAGAACAGACAGAACTTGTTGCCTTCACATCTGGAATTTAAACTCTGTTTCTGTTAAGACAACAGTATGACCTCTGCTCACCCTTTATAGTACTGCTGTACAGGCATTGTCCCTGCCTCTACGAGTTGGTGTAACAATAATCCCATGCGCTCCCTAGCAATGGTGCTGCGTTCAAGCGTCGACTCAAGGCCAACGCGCACAAATATGTACAGTAGTGAGGCACTTTTGAGCTCTGTCACACACTGCAGCGCCTCCTACAGATCAAGAATGAAAAAAAAAAAATCAGATATGGAAAACAAAATCATATCTGTAACCATAACAAAATAATAAGACTGACTACACATATCTGTACCTTGATGTCATTGATGTGGAGGTACTCTTCAATAATGGCATTGGACTTTTTCTCCACCTCTTCCTCTGTCATGGAAGGTTTGGGAAGAGAAGCAGGAACATTTTCACGCTTGACTGTAGAAAAAAAAAAAAAAAAAAAAAGGTGGAAATAAGTAAAGTTTCAACATTAAACAATGTGTTATTCTTAATTTCAATGTTGTCCTTGTTCCTTAATATTGATACCTGGGAGGTCTTTGCTTGGACCAGTCTCCCGACTACCCTGGCTCCTGCTTCCTCTGTCCCGGCTACCCTGGTCCCGGCTTCCTCGATCCCTACCACCTTGATCTCTGCTTCCTCGGTCCCTACTGCCTTGATCTCTGCCTCCTCGGTCCCTGCTTCCTCGGTCATGACCTCCTCTATCTCGACTTCCTCGGTCTCTGCTTCCTCTGTCTCGATTGTCCGTCATGCTGGCAACGCGCCGCACAGGTTCTGTTGAGCCCCGGCTGTCTCCGCCCCTTCCACCGCGCTCCTGTGATTCTCTGCTGAAGCTCCTCTTGGAAAACTGGTTCCCATCCTGTCTCTCACTGCGAGCAAATCGGTCATAGCGATCTCTGTCGTGGTCATTTCTGTCTCTGTCACCACCACGTTCCCGACTGGCGCTCGACCTAAAAGGCATAAATTAATACATCATAAATAATAGAACTGTACATTTATTAAGAGCATTTCATAAAAAAAATTAAATGACTTCTAGCAAGAAATTGGATTTTAAAGGAAAGTAAAGCAAAGAAAGAATTTTAGGGAGGAATGTACCTCTGAGGAACTCGTCGATCAGTGTCTGTTGATGACATTGAACCAGACTGCTGCAGTGCTGAGAATCGGTTCAGAGTGCTAGTGGCTGGACGCCCAGAGTCTTTACAAAAGAAGAGGGAAGAAGAAAAACAATTTGGGGTAAAAACCTGTAAACTCAGAATTCAGGGTTCTATAAAGATAAGTGGTTTACCCTGATCTCCACCAGCTGGTTTAGCCCCACTTCCTCCACTGCTGCCCTTTCCCCAGCTGCCCCACATCCCTTTCCCATCCGGAGCAAGTCGCTGATTGTTGAAGTCCATGGCCCCGGGCTGTAGGAAAACAAACATGTCACATTTAGAAAGAGAAGCTTCTTAAAACTTAAATTATGGAAATAACTGAAATTCCAAGAATGGAATATCAAAGTCAAGTGTACAGATTTAGATTTCACCTTTGTAATTTTGCTGAGGCGGGTGATGTCAATAGGTCGATTCTTGGAGATGGGCACTGTGTTCCAGCCCTCGTCTTGGGGCTGGTTAACCCGGCCCCTTGCTGGGGTATGTGGACCACGGCTTTCCTTCCTTGACAGGAGCTGCTGCTGGACTTTGATCTGTTCCCTGTGCTCTTCCATCTCTGCCTCTTTGTGGATCTGGTCGATCGTTTTAGGACCCTGGTCTCCTCTACGAGGAACCCAGTTATTCTGAGAATCAGAGAAGGAAAAGAAGATCAGTACCAGCATCACTCATGAGCTAATTTACTGCTATAGGAATTACCATTTACCTTTCTGAGGTCCAAAACGTCTTGCAGCATGAAGCGGATTCTGGAAGATGTCTTCCTCTCTTTGATGATCTTGTCCATCTGGTTGAAATACTGATCCATGCGAGGCTGAAGAAAAAAAAAATTAGCTATTAGATGCCCCGGTTCCTAAAGCAAAAGCAAACATTTTTTTTATACGAATCCTAAAATTATTTATACCCCTTACTTTCTCACAATTATCCTTTAACAACCTCAGACTTAATAACAATGTATTTTATCTGGGATTTATGTCATTGAGCAACACAAAGTAGCACAATATTTTCCAAGTGTCAGATAAACACTACTGTCAAACTTATTTGATGCTAAAAATCCAAACTGAAAAGCATGGCTTATATTTCTAATAACCTTGCCCAGCTGAATCTTTCATAGAACCATCTTCCACAAAATCTACATCTGTGAGTCTTTGTATATCTACAGACAAGAAATCTGAACTGGATCAAACCTTTGCACAGATTCTCATTGAAATTTATCTCTGGACCCAACTCCATTTACTCGTGCACTTTCACTAGCTTTTCTGTTCCTGCTGAAGAGACACATCCCCATAACATGATGCTGCAATCTCTGTTTTGTTTAGAAAGCCGAAAACGGGTCTGTGTACACTTATGAAAATTACTTTGCTTCTAACCAAAACTTTGATGTAGGCAGAAAATATTGGAACTGTCATAACGCCATTATTAAACAATTATATTGCTATTTATACAGATTAAGAATTATTGTCTGTCCCTAATTCTGCACCACTTTGTGTTGGTCATTTGCATAAAATACCCCAAAAAATACATTGAACCGAGTCAGAGCTGAAGGGGTACGAATAACTTCAGTAAAAAATAAAAATGCATGTCCTCTCAGTTCCTCAATCCATCATAAGAATCAGTGGCCCAGACACGTGGCACAAAGATATAGTCATCACAGAAGACCGTTTCATATCACTCACTCTCTCACATGTGCGTCTAACCTACTTACCTTGGCCTTCTCAAAGTCCAGGTCTTTGCCAATTGTGGAAAGCAGTCTGCAGAGACACTCGAGAGATTCTTCATCATGGTTCTTCAGTAGTTTGACCACACAGTCATGCATGATGGCCTCTGTCAGCATCTTCAGCTTGAAGAGCTCACCGATAAACTTAATGTTACCCAGTGAGCGCCTTCGAGCTTTGTCTCTGGACTCTTCCAGCGCAACCCTCAAAGTCTCACGCTCCTCATCCTGCAGAGAAAACAAGAAATGTATCCTTGTCACAGTCACATGATCATTTTAGTCCAAAACCTTCAATGGAGAGGAAAAAAGACAAAAATATCATACATTCTTTGAAGCTTCCATCTCTTTCTGCTTTCTCTCAAAAATCTCATCGTCATCTTGGTCCTTTTCAAACTCTTTCTGGCAGCGGTTAAGCAGAATTTTGCGGAAGTTCACAAAGTTTCCAGGTTTATCTGGGATGGGCACTCTCAGCTGGAAAGGGACAACAATGATGCACAGTGTTACTAGATTTTTATTCAATCATAATGTGAGAGAACATTTAGATGGAAAGCTACTTTTTGCTCATTCAGTTCCTCAAAGCCATCATGAGCTTTCAGTGGCCCAGACACGTGGCACAAAACTCGAGTCATCATTAGAGCAGTGAGAGTGAGGACAGCACACCATGACTCACCCCTATAAGGCAGCGGCACATGTTGGCGTAGGCTACAGCAAAGTTGGGTTCTGAGATGGCCTTCTCAAAGATGAGATCAATGGTTCCCTTCAGCCTCTCTTCTGTGTCTATCGTCAGGTCCATCACTTGCTTCATCAGCTCCTGGAACTTCTGTGGGGTGAGCTTGTTCAGAATGCTGCGCAGACGCTTAAACACCTCTTGAGTCTTTTTCTGCTCAGCGTCAGTCTCTTCAGATTTGCCGTCTTCTGACTTCAAGGTAGAGGGTTTCCAGGCGTTAGCAGCCTTGTTGAGCTGCACATTGTCGGTAAGAGACCTGCTGTTGATGATGATGATTTTTTTGGGCTCTTTTCGCATACCTTGCTGGGAGCGATGTGACCCAGAGGACTAAAAGCATAAAAGAAGACATTCCAACAATTATTTTACTTTTTTTTTAATTAAAGACAACTTAAATGATAGAAAACAAAAGTAGGAAGATGTGAATTTAAATAACCTGTGGTCGTTGTCCTACCGATTTGCTTCCAAGACCCCCCAAAAATGTAGGAGTGAAATCAGGACCCGTATTCATCAATCTACTTGGATCAATGGGCCGCAATGGAGTCTTGTTTACCTGGAAACGTAAATAGACTTGTGTCTTTCACAAAACATTCTGCACTTTAAACAATTAAAGAAAAAAGGTCAGTTTATAAATATTAATTTCATGTCATGTGTGCCATCCAATGCAGATCATTGGCACCATCCACATCTAGTAAAAACTAGTGCAATTGGATGAGTTATATAACGCAAACACTCATTGGTTAGCTAAGGGAAATCATCAGAAGCAAGCAGGTGTTCTTTAAACTGCAAACATGAATTATCTATGCCATGCTACAATGTTGGATTCAGAAAAAGATGTTGAAATGTCTGAAAGGTCGGACACAGGCGAGAGCATATCCGCAAATGGAGACCAACAAGACCTCCCTCATCCTTGGCCTTATCTTAAAAGTATTTTTAGAAATAATCGAAAAATTGAGCTTTGAATTCATATACCGACATCTGGCTGTTTTTATTAAAGGTTACTTTATACTTTAAGTAGTTTTTTGGAGCTCATACTTTTTCACTTTTACTTGAGTAAAGAGGTCAGGTTGATACTTCAACTTTTACCAGAGTGTTTTTAAACTGCAGTATCTATACTTCTACTTAAGTAACAAATGTGTGTACTTTTGACAACACTGTATATATCAAAATCAGTGTATTTGCACTTCATTTAAGCAGTTAATCAGAGGATCTCCCAATAGAATGACTATTTCTGCCTTTAAAATAAGATGATTAGATATTATGCACTGGGAATAAGGTAGAGTTGTTTTTCCTCGTTTTACACATATTTTATTCCACTGGCAAATGGTCTTACATTTTCAAAAAAAAGCAATATACATTTTTTAAGTAGTTGGTTTTATCTATCTTTAAATGAGGCTCTAATATCAATGTCTATTATTTTATTATTTGTTATTGTAGTTTATCTCAGCACCCTATACTGGTTGAAAACTTTGATCAAACATGTACTTTAAAAAGATTTTAGTTATCCTGATCTTCCCACAGTAAAGCCACAGCTCACCTCATCCAAGACCACATCACTGATGACAGGCAGACCCTCAGGTTTATGCATACTGGCACTGCTAAACTGGAAGCGTAACAGGAACTCTCGGTCATATCGCTTCTTTGCTTCTGGGTCAATTGGCTCCCATTGGTCTGAGAAAAAAAACAAAAAACATTTGAAATACATTCATGAACGTGCTCTGTGTGCACGCTTTAACTTTCAAACAAGGATTTTAATGCTAATAGTGAGAAAAGTGTTGCTTAAAATAGGATAAAACAAATGGGAAGTCTTCACTTACGACTTATAGTAAAATCTTTTTCAGCAATGACAAAAACATCAAATGTTTTAATTGCATTAATTTGTTTGTGGCTGTCAAACAGCTATTTGACACAGACTTCAGTTTTCTGATACTTTTATGAAATTATTTTAGTCCAGTCACAAGCAACTGAAATGAACATCAAGACTTAAGCATTGTGAGAAAATATTTCAGATCATCTTTGAACAATTTCTTTCTATAAAAAGTTAGTTTTAAAAAAATATAATCCAAGTATTTTTGATTATTTCAACATCATCAAAACAATTTTCTAGAAAGTCTCATGAATGCTTAAAAACATAACTAACTTTCTTTGAACTGATATTTCTCCTCAGCTGGCTCAAGTGTTGATTTAGGTTTGTCTGGTTCTGCGTTCTGCTTGTCCTCTTTTTCTTCCCAGGTCTCCTCCACAGCTTCAGCAGGAGGTTCAGTTGGAGCTGGAGGGCTGACCTGAACCACTGATGGTTCAGGAACAGGCTTGGCATCCGGCTCCTGCTAACATAATGTTTAAGCCCGATTACAATAGTGATCGGCATGAATGCTGACCTGCTCTTAAACCAACTGTGTTTCTGCTCACCTCTTTGAAGGCATCCAGGATGTCCCCAGTGGCTTTTTTGTTTAGCTCTTTCATGTTCTTCTTCTTCTTTGGCACAGACGTAGCTGCTGGCAACAGAGGAAATGTTATTTTTATTAACAGAAAAAAGAAAATACATTTTAAAAATACATTACTTTATAAAGTGGGTCATTCCCCTCAATACTGAATGCATTAACCATTTTCTCTCAATCTGTCCCACATAGAAGATCTAATTTAGGAATAAAATGGACTAAAGTAGCGCAGCTATCTACCTACTTATTAGAAAATAAAGCTCCAATACAGCCTGGAGGAAAAATCTGATGCCGTTTCATTGTAAATCAGGGCCACAATAGTTGAAATGCCCTCTTCAAACAAAGCAAACTTGAGCAGTCTAAGAACATAACCAAGAGATGCTTTAATTCCCATTTGCTCTACAGAATCACTTAAATTCTGTATTGTTGCAGAGAAACACCAGAACCAAATGTTTAGGGTTTCAATATATAATAAACACCTGAGGCACATAGAACTCAGCGTTTCCCCAACTACCCTTGTCCAGTGGGTGGAGTGTGCCCAACGAATGAGCCCATCCTTGTTTAGAAGGTAAAATTTGACAATGTGGACAAAAATATGCAAGATCTAAAAACTATGAAAATAGATCAGTAAAAAAAATTCTGCAAGACTGCGTGCGGATAATCTATGGACTGATATACGATTATAGAAGACAATAGATACTTACATAATAA